CAAGAACTGGAGGCTAGCATGTAGCAGAGGAGGCAGTAGCAGAGGAGGAGAGGTTGATGGGGGAGCTGCATTTGGAGAGTCTGGCAGGCAGGACCTTGAATGCCAGGCTAAGGAGTTTATTGGGAGGCAAGTGGGTGCTGATAAAGGCTCAAGGATTCCATCAGGCTGTTCCCACAAAGACCTGGGCCACCTCAGGGCACCATATCCCCATATCCAGGAGCCAGTTGTGTCCCAGAGAAAACAAGGGACTGGACCTTGAGACTTGGCCAGTGTCCTTCACATCCTACCCTGTGCACGCCCCTGTTTGGCCTGTGGTGCAGAAGGCCCCTGGGAGACCTGAAGCAGAAGCTGCAGACCATTCCAGGTTAGTGTGGAGCCCCAGAGTGGGATCTGAAGGGACCAGGGCTTACCCCAGGGGTGACGACCTCCTGCACCCCCAGGATCCCACCACCCTCAGCCCTTTGCCAAATCGGACTATTCCCTGGGGGTGATGCTGCTGGTCAGAGCAGAGCATTGGGATGGACCTCAAGGTGATGCCCACTCCACTCATAGCCTCATCCATGGCTTGGCTGATATGTCGCTGTTGTGGGTGCCTCCCGGAGAATCCCCGCTCAGACCATCGCATTCACCCTCACAGCTCCCAAGCACAGCTTGAGTGCGACTGGCATTACAGAGATGCGGAAACCGAGGCCATGGGAGAACCGGGGAGGAGGGACTGAAACCAGCAGAGGATGGAGCGGGGACTAGAACCTCAGACGGGGGCCTCCCAGCGGCCCAGCTTCACCCCTCCCGCCCCATATTCGCTAGGGGGTCGTCTGCACGTCGTTTGTATACATCTGTCCAGGCGAGGGGTGGTGATGAGGACCCAGGCTCCTGGCCCTGGGACTCGACTGCTGCTGAAACCCCCACCGCCGCGCCCTTCCTGGTGACTTCCGATACCCATCGGGACGCTCGGCGCCCTTGCGGCGGTCAGAACTCGCGGGACGCTCGGTCCTCCCCCCCCTGGGGAACGCCGATGACTAGGGGGCTCCGGCCTGCACCCTCCCGGACCGCCTGGTAGGGGCGGGACCAGAGCGGGCCGGAGAGGGCGGGGCCCGGGTGGCTGGTGGGGCGGGGCCTGCGGGACAGTCGGGCGAGGCTGGGGCGGGCGCGAGCCTGAGAGGAGTGACGGACAGGGCAGGACCGCGGGGCGGGGCTTGGTTGACTGACAGGGTGGGGCGCGGCTGGGGCGTGCGGTGGCGAGCTGGACTACAGCGAAGGCAGGGCTAGAGAGGGGCGGCGGTCCCCGTGCGGGGGCGGGACCAGAGATGACCGCAAGAGCAAGGTGGGGCCAGGGCGAGGGAGGGTCTAGCGTGGCTTATGAAGGCACTGCCTGAGTGACGGACAGGACCAGGGCGGGCCCGGGGCTGAGCGACCGGGGAGGAGCCTTTCAGGTAGGGGCGAGGCCGGCGCCGGGCTAAGCTAGGACAGGGACACGAGCTGGGCGGGACCAGGGATAACTGACAGGACAAGGTAGGGCTGGAGATGGCCGGACGCTGGACTACCAGCTGGAGCCCAGCGGGAAGCGGGCACAATGACTGTTCAAGGGGCCAGGGAGGAATGACTGGCAGCTCGAGGAAGGGAAGGAGGGAGGAGAAGCGGGGACGTAGGCGACGTAGTACGAGTGACAAGGCAGGTGGCGGACCTGGAATAAGGCCCGCTTGTGGGTGGTGAGGGCGGGGCTCAGGGGCCATGAGTGACAGCTAGAGGGGTCAGCCTCAAACATCGTCCCTCCTGCTCTGCAAGGAATTCCCTTTCCGGCTGAACACCGCGAGCTTCCCACATTTTTCGTGCCCTAGGTGAGGGACGGCTCGCCGTTGCTGCCTGGGCTGCCACCAGCCGGCTCCATCTCTCCGCCCGAGTGCGTCTGCCCTAGGCGAGGGCGTTGCAGAGGAGATCAGACCCGCGAAGGAGGTTTCCATCTTCCGGGTTTCCATCTCGTCACTGGTCCCATCTCAGTGAAAGCCAGCCAAGGGCGTCCACCTACCCCTGATCTCGCCACGGGATCGGTCCCAGGGCCAGGAAATTCGCCTTTAGCGGCGGTCCCCGTGGCAGCCCTGGTTCGGCGTTGGTTTTGACCCGGCCCTCCTGTCCACTGTTGCAGAAACGCTTTCAGGAGTGGCCCCTGGGGCTGCGGGTCTTCTTGCGATTCCTCCGAGACTCGCGGAGATTCCTCCGAGTCTGCGCTTCCGCCCGGGCGCCCTCATGCTGGCGCCGCCCGTCACCCTGCAGGCCTCAGGGTCCCGGAATCACGGCACCCGCACCGAGCCTGCGCCGTAGCCCTCGTTACTGCTGCGGAGCGGAAGGCCTCGCTCCCCATTCCTGGCCACGCCCCCTCTGTTCACCGGCCCCGCCTTACGCCCAACTGGCCCCACCCCCTTGGTGCCTCCGTTTCCCTGCTGTTCCCTGACCCCACCCTTACAGTGCAGTCCCCGCCCCTAAGGTTAAGCCCCGCCCACGTCTACCTTTTCCCCGCCGCTCTATCCCAGGCCCCATCCACCCTCCATCTCCGGCCCCGCCCTGCAGTCATTGGTCCCGCCCCTCCTTACCACACCTCCTCCCCCTGTTCAAGGGGCTCCTGAGGGGCTGAGAGTCTAGGTGTGCGACGCTTGGTCCAACACCTCTGCTTGCTTTCGCTCTCGGGTCCTGCGTGAAGCCGAGAGCCTGAATGGGGATCGTCCCGGCAGGGTAGCTCAGGTATGTGGCTCAGGTTTGCGTATCTCGGCAGAATCTCGGGGGCTTCTTGGATCTGATCAGGTGAATGCGGGCTGCCCCTTTCTGTAGCGGCTCCCACTGGCGGGTCGGAACCTCGGGACCTGCGGAAAGGGACAGATCCCTCTCACCTCCTAGCTCTGCTCTTTCCGCAATCTCAGCCTGCAGTCACACGTAGGGCCCTCACATCGCGGTGAGTGGCCTGTAATGCCCCGTCCAGAGGTCCCTCCCGTCTTGTGCCCACCAAGGTTTCCGGGGGAAGACTCCTACTCCTCGGCCCCGGGACCCCTGAGTGACCTACCTCATGGGAGAGTCTATCTCTTCCCAGGTTCCAGACCTCCAGACGCTGCTCTGCATCGCCCCACAGGCAGTGGTGCTGCCCTGTACTAACCTTGAGCAGCCCAGGGCCTTCTTCCATCCCATAGCGCTCAGCTCTGGGGGCGGGCTTCCCCAACAGATGTTCCTTATCACAGCATCGCCCCACATCTGGGGCCTGGAGTTCCCACAGAGGCGGGGGTGGGAGAGGGCAGGGCAGAACAGAGGGCTGTGTTCTCCAAATGCCTTCCCTTGGGAGGCCCTGTGAGGCTTGGGGAAACTGAGGCCCAGAAATGGCGCTGCTTGGCGACCAGCATGGCAGCAGTAGAGGCTACACATCAGCCACTCCCTCTGGGCAGCCAGCACCTGCCTGCCCCCAGAAAGATCTGACAAGACTCAAAGCATGTTCTCCCCAGGTTGCCTGAAGGAGGATCTTCCCTTGTCCTCTGGCTATGGGGCTACTCTTTAGAACACCCTAGTCCGCATCCTTGAGGTAAAGTGGTCCTCTTGCGGTCTCTAAATTCCCTTGGTCATGGGGAAGGGGGAGGAGCAGCTCCCAAGAGTAATCATAGCTAGTCCTGGGAGTTGGGGGTCTCCTGGAGATCCAGGAGCCTCCCACGCTGCCTTCTCGCAGCTTTATATCTGTGGCCGCTAAAGTCCTGAATGGAGGTGACGTGCGTCCTGCCCACTCTAGAGTCTCTCTAGCACCTTCCACTGAGTCCTTGCCCTTCTAGGCTCGTCTGCCCCCCAGGGACTAAGCCCCTCCAGACACTGGCTGGAGTGGGTCCCTATCGCCTCACTGGGCTACAGGAACCCTGATGGATGGGTGGGCACTGGGCACACCTCATGGAGGCAGGGCCAGGAGACCTAGAAAGCTCTGGTTCCAGGGCACAGAAGGGACCCACAGCCTTTACCCATCAGTCCACCCCCCATCAGTATTCCAACACTTCCAGGCCACATTACTGAAGTCATGCTCTGCTCCATTTAACCACATCACTCCCCTTACCATTGGGGGCGCCCCATCTTTAAAATAAAATCCAAGATCCACACCATGGCCTATGAGGCTCTGCTTGGTGGTCCAGCCTCTCTCCAACTCTCCCTTTTGCCCATTACACTCTGGCCAAGATGGCTTCTCTCTGTTCTTTGAACACACCCGTGTTTTTTTTCCTCTGGGCCTTTGCACAGGTCTTTCTCTCTGCTTGGAACTGGATTGTAAGCCCTATAAGAGTGGGGACTGTGTTTGGTTTTATTTGACTCTGTATCCCCAAGCATTTAACCTAGTAAATAATAGACACTCAATAAATGCCAGCTGTAATAGGTCTTAATAAATAATTCTTGAATCAACGTGCCTGATGCTTTTCTACTGATTTGTTCAATCTTTACCACAGCCCTGTGAGGTAGGAGCTATCATTAGCTCCCTCTTATAGAAAAAAAAACCCCAGGAACTCAGCTAAGATTTGAACCCCAGAAGGAGGGTTTTTTTCACCTCTCATTGAGTATAGGGCCGTGAGAGTGAGGTGGTACACCACAGGCCAGCTCCTAGATTCTAGATGCTTGTAGGCTTCCTCGAGCAGGAGGTATCGGGTCTGGGCTGGAAAGCTGGCAAGACTTGGGTCTGCAAAGGCCCTAAGAGAGCATTCCAGGTAGAAGGAACAGCAATGAGCAAGGTAGGGAGGCAGGAAGATGTAGATCTTGGGACCTCCCAACTCAGGGCTGGGCCAACCCAGGACACACAGCCAGCTGGGTCCCAGGGCGCTGTGGGCTGGGGGTCTCCAGAGGCAGGACCCCCACTGGCGGGTGTTGTGGCCGGGCGTCACTCTGCAGTCCCTCTCTCCAGGCTGTGGGCTGGGGCGCCCCCAGGGACGCTGGCTGGGCGCTCCCACGCCCCGTCGAGGCAGGACGTTCCCACGAGGGGGCGGCCCTGGAAAAGGCTGTGGGGCGGGCCTGGCGGGCGCCAGCGCTCTGGTCCCTCGGCAGCAGCGCATTCTCCGTTACTGGCCTGGCAGACCCGGGTCGCGCTGCCGCTGCCGCGAGCCGCGAGGTGAGTGAGTGGGTGGGCGAGCCCCAGCTGGGGAGGGTGGGGATGCGGCTTGGACTCCGGCTTTCACCACCCGGTCGGTGCTCTTGTGGTCCCCCCATAGAAGAGGGTCGGGAGTCTTCTGGCAGCTGAGAGTTGAGACTCCTGGGGAATTATCCTCTGTCTGCATATGGGGCACCATCTCTTTCCCCGAATGTAGATTACCCCTTCCCTCTCCCCGTATGTGGCGCGCCCCCACCTACTTATCACTGATGGGGAGCCCTTCCTTCCCAGATGTGGGGGCCCCCTCCCACTTACCACGTATGGTATACCCCCTCCCTCTCTCTACTTATGGGGTGTCCCTCTCTCTCCCCAGATATGAGGAGCCCTTTCTCTTTCCAGAACTGGGATACCCCCTTCCTGTCCCCACATGTGTGCTCCTCTTCCTCCCTCTCACCCAGTTTGGTCCTTGTCCTCTTCTAAAGCCACCTCCATGGGATGCGAGACCCTGGGACTTCCCTGGGGGAGAGGGGGGTTGGGCTTGGGCTCCGTCTGTCCCCCTCCCCCACCAGTTCTAGCAGAGCAGGCTCTCCGTGCACGTAGGCAGCCAATTAGGGGGGAAGGGGTGGGGGCCAGACCATCTGTGCAGAGATCTTGGCAGATGGCCCTGTAGGGAAGAGAGGTAGCCCCAGGACCAGCTCCCTCCCTACCTGGCCTCCCACCCACTTTCGTCTAGGGGCAAACAACTGAAGGAGGTTTCCCAACCTGGCCAGGCTGAGCTGGGGCTGGAACCAGAACCTAGGCTTCCAGCCCCAAACTGTTCAGATCCTGCCTTAAGAGTCAGGCCTCCTCCCACTTCTCAGATGGGAATTGAGGTTCCAGGAGAGGGTTCCAACTGTCTCCGATCCCCATCTACCCCCAAAGGGATATCAGGCAAAATTAGAAGGGTCATGGGCATGCAGGTGACCTTGAAATCCTGCCCTCTTCCCACAACTCCTGAGAAAGGGTTTCTCTGTCTGGGCCCTGAGGAGTAGGGCAGAGGGCACTGTGGGGGCAGGACTCATCCACCCCACCCCCAGATGTTCTTCAGAGCTGCCTGGAGCTTGGTGCTGAGGAGAGGAGGACTCGGATCGCGAGGGATCCACAGCCCAGGAGACACCGGTGAGACCTGGACATCTGCCTCCCTTGCCTAGCTCTGAGGCTAGGGGCAGGAGTCCTCTGCCGGCTGCCCCTGTCCTTTCATGGTGCCCTGGGCCTAGCCCAGAGCCATTGCCCGCAATCCTGCTCCTTGGTCCTGGGCCACGTTCCTCCAAGAAATGGAGCTCACAGGGTGAGCAGACAGCAGCTCCGTCCATTCCAAGCTTGCTCAGGGCCCAAACCCCAAACCTCAGGCCCCTGAGGGCTTTGTGTCCTGAGGTGGAGGGTGCTGACAGAAACTTGGACCTCCTTTCCAGACCCTGGTGTCAGTGCTAGTTAGAAGAAAGAGGCCTAAAGCAGGAGAGACTTCAGCCAGATAGCAGAAGGGCCGTCCTGACCCTCGGGGGAATAATAACAGATAACGTTTATTGAGCCCTGACTGTGCACCCCAAGCTACAATAAACATTTTATACAGATTAACACATTTAGACTTCACAACAACCATGTGAGGTGGATGTTGTGCTGTTATCTCCATTTCTCAGATGAACAAACTGAGGCCCGAAGACCTAGATATTAAAAGAGCCAGGACTCCTCGCTCAAAGCAGTTCCAATGCTATCCTGGTAAGGTGGTACCAATGCCCTCCTTGTGGGCATCTCTGGTGACAATAAACAGAAGAAGCTTTGTTGAGACCCTCCTAGTGCCCAGCCTTGTTCTGGACACCCACACGGAGCCCTCCAGGGCTTGGCCATCAGGGAAAGCTTCCAGGAATGGGAGCCAGTAGTGAAACCAACCTCGATTGATCAGTGTCATCTACAGAGCAGCTACGGTGTGCTAAGCCTTTGGAGTGTATTATTTTGGAGCTCCCACAACAGTGTGAGGTAGGTTCTCCTATCAGCCCCGCTTCCCAGGTGAGGACCTTGAAGCACAGGGAGGTAAAGGGGCTGTTGAACTGGGGCTCAAACCCAGCTGACTCCAAAGCCGTACCGTTGACCACTCACCAAAGGCAGATGGACAGCGCTTTGTAGCGTGCAGAGCAGTTTCACATCGGACTCTCAGGCTCCTCTCACTGAGCCTGCGCCCGCCCATTGCCTCTGCCTGACATGCCCTCGTCAGCTCAGATCTCCCTGGAGAGCAGGGGAGTTGAAGCCAGAGGGGCTGAACTGCAGCCCTGGCCCGGCTCCTTATTACTCTGTGGATTTCAGCAAGTCACCTACCTGCTCAGTTTCTTCATCTGTGAAGTGGAGATGCCAGTGTTGCCTGGCTCAGAGTGATGCGGAGTACATAAGTCAACTCATCTAAAGGCCTTAGAATGGCTCCTGGCACACAGGAAGTGCTCAATAAATGCAGCCCTCTTTATTAATATTATGGGTAGTGCTGGGATGTCCCAGGGGCAGCCTGAACTCAGCTCTTCCCTTGTGCCCACAGCCCATAGCAAGGGGAAGATGCCCCCCTACACCAACTACCACGCCCAGCGCTCCTACCCCATGCCAGACGAGCCCTTCTGCACAGAGCTCAATGCGGAGCAGCGGGCCCTGAAGGAGAAGGAGAAGGGCAGCTGGACCGAGCTGAGCCACGCCGAGAAGGTGGCCTGTAGGTCTAGGGTGGGGCTGGCGGGGGAGAGTGGGCTGGGGGTGACTTTGAAAAGAAGCGTCTGTCAGGGAGCAGTGGGCAGGAAGACCCCCCCAAGACAGCCAGAACCCCCCCAAATACTGAATGCACATCTGAGGGGGGAAGCACATTCCTTGTTCATGCATCTTTTATTCACTCAACTCTTTGTGCACAGCCTCATGCTGGGCGATCCTGGGGACATAAAAGTGAATCACCTGGATGGTTCTTGCCCTCAGGGTGCTCCCAGTCCAGTGGGGGAACCAACACAAGCCCAGATAACTGTAATATAGGATATGTGGCGAGGGTGAAGTGTGTTCAAGGGGCTGTGAGGACCCAAAGGAGAGAGAGATGAAATCCTGGTGGGCCTTCCAGAGGAGGGCATGTTCTAGTTGACCTTGAATGGTGAGGCTGAGGGTGCTGCCAGGTGGTGGGAACAGCATGGGTAAGGGTATGGGAGCGGAAGAGCATGGAGGGTCCTAGGCATCAGTAAGTGCTGTAGGGGAAGGAACAGAGAGAGGCGGTGAGGTGGCCAGGAAAGAAGGGGGCCTGACCCTGGGGAGCAGGAGGGATGTGTGACTCCAATTCCTGCCCACCAGAAGTGCCCCAGGCTGACTCCGATATTTGGAGCCTTGTCACTAGCTCCTGGCCATGCTTTGCATAGAGTAGATGCTCCGTAAGAATTTGCTGACTGCACAGCATCTGCTGCAGGGAGGGGGAGGCTGAACTCCCTGAGGCCAAGAGTTGGCCCAGGGTCCTTGGAATGGATGCACCTGCCACCCCTACTTCCCCGCCCCCACCTGCCTCCAGTGTACCGGCTCCAGTTCCACGAGACCTTTGCGGAGATGAATCGCCGCTCCAATGAGTGGAAGACAGTGATGGGCTGTGTCTTCTTCTTCTGTGGATTCACAGCTCTGCTGATTTGGTGGCAGCGGGTCTATGGTGAGTGGCAATGCCTCACCCGGCTGCAGCCCTGGGCCATGCCTTTGTGGCCACAGCCACCAGCCAAGCTCTTATAAGGGAACTATGTTGGCACTCCTCTGAAGATTTTTGAAAAGTCCCCCAGGGAGGTGTAGGGAGACGGGCAGAGCACAGCTGCTAGGTTGGAATGTAGGGCCTTTACCTCTCTGGGCCTCCATTCCCTCATCTGTAAAATGGGAATGATAGTGCCTACATCTTAGGGTTCTTGTGAGGATTTCATGAGGGAGCTGCAGGCCAGTGCCTGGCACATAGTCATGAATGGTGGTGTTACTGATTGCTGTTATTAACCGTGAGCTTTTCAGTATATTGTTTCAGCTGGTCTAACAAAGAGTCCCCAACATACAAGAGCTTAAACAAGATGGAAGTTTTATTCCTCTCTCACAAAAAACGCCAGGGAAAGTAGGGGGACTCCACAATGTCCGGCTCCTTCTGTCTTGTTGCTCTGCTGTCTTTAACATGCAGCTTCCTTCTTGACATACAAAATGGCTGCTCCAGCTCCAGCCATAAAGCCTACATTCCAGTCAAGAAGAGGAAAAGGGAGGACGCATTCGTCGCTAAGGTCCAAAAATTTCATGCACCTGCTTCTGCTCACATCCTATTGGCTAAAAATGATCACATGACTATAGCTACAAGGGAAGCTGGGCAATGTAGTCTTTAGCTAGGTGGTCACATACCCAGCTGACCATTTATTACCACAGAAGAGTGATTCTCAAAGTGTGGTCCCTGGACCAACAGCTTCACTTGGCTCCTAGTTAGAAACGCAAATTCTCAGCCCTCCTCTGAGTCTACTGTCAGTCACTCGAAACGTGGGGCCCAGCAGTGTGTGTTTTAACAGACCTCCAGGTGATTCTGATGCCCACTCAGGTCTGAGAAGCACTGCTCTGGAAGAAGGGAGAGGAGACCAGGAAGAGCTGGCAGTCTCTGCCTTAAGTGACTTCACCTGATCTTGTTTCTTCTTCTGCAAAACTGTGATGGGAATTCCTACCTTGCGTGAGGATGAAACGAGAGCCTTTGGGAAAACTCTAGGCTAGCCTAATGTGTGGTACTAACAGGTGCCCATAAAGACATTTTCTCTCTTGCCCACCCGCTGGGATAGAAAGTACCAGGGAAGGAGGTCAGGCTGAGTGAGCCTCAGGGGCAGAGGGACCAGGAAGTAGGATGTGAGTGGTGTTGCAGGCTCCGGCCCCCAGGCCTTCCCTGATCCACAGTCAAGGCTCCTAAAATGCCTCCGTGAGTGCTTCAGCCTCTGGGTTGAGTGTTCTCTGCCCAGATTTGTAAAGCGAACACCCCTACCCCACCTCCTACTCCCAACCCCTCAGCAAGCGAAAGAAACGCTCTCATCCTGGCCCCTCCCCGATAAGTGGGAGCGCACTCAGTAATTATGGTAGCGCTCATGGATTAGGGGCTTGACATCTGTCCCACACTGTGCCAGCTGCTTTGTAAGTACTAACTCATTCAAGCCCACAACCCTGGTGGATGGGACCTGTTTTTGACAGGTAAGGAAACTGAGGCTCAGAGAGATGAAGTGACTTGTTCAAGGTCACAAACCGATGGAGTGGTGGAGCTGGGATGTGGATTAGACAGACTTTAAACCAGTGCTCCTACTGCCAGTGGGCCCCAGAGTAGGTGAGGAAACGGAGGCTCAGAATGGGGAAGGGCCTTGGCCCAGTTCCCACAGGGGATCTAAGGCAGAGCTGGGATCAGAACCCTGAGGGCCCTGGAGTGACACTTCAGAAAGGAGTGTGGTAGGCAGGGCCGGACAGGGTGGAGGGAGCTCCTGAGCGCAGGACACCCGAGCCCTGTGACTGGAGAGCCTGCTCCGCGGGAGGCGGCAGGCCTGGCAGGGTGCTGAGCCACCTGTCCCTGCCACATGCCTTCCTGGCAGTGTTCCCTAAGAAGCCCATCACCCTGACGGCTGAGTGGAAGGCCCAGCAGCTCCAGCGCATCCTGGATATGAAGGGCAACCCCGTGCAAGGCCTGGCCTCCCAGTGGGACTATGAGAAGAAGCAGTGGAAGAAGTGACAGGCCTCCCAGGCTCCTCCTGCAGCCTCACCCCAGCCCGGAGCTGTGGAGGCCCCTCCCCTCTCCTGAACCCCAATAAAGCTGACCTGTTGTCTCCTGCCTTTCATCTCCGCCTCAGTCTTTACCTCCCGTAAAGCCTACAGGACACCTAAAATTAGGCGGTACAGCAGGTGAGGGGCAAGAATAAGCCACTTTCCGGGGGCTCAGAGCCCAGCTTGTCAGGGAGGGCTTCCTGGAGGAGGAGTGGCTGGGGATGAGTCTTAAAGGATAGGGGGGATTAGGAAAGGCAGGAAGGAGAAGGGAAGGCATTTCAGGCAGAGGGAATGGCTTGAAGAAAGGCAAGGACACTCCTTTATTCAGTCAATTAACAAATATTCATTGAGCACCTACTGTGTGCCAGGTACTAATCCAGGCCCTGGGGATGCAGTGGTGAACAGGACAGACCAAGTCTCTGGCCTCATGGAGGAGACACCTCCCTCGCTGCGGGAGACAGAAAAATGAATCAGTAAGTGTATTATCCAGCATGTTGCATGGTAATAAGTACTATGACGAAAGAAAACAAAGCAGGATAAAGGAACAGAATTCAAGGGGGTTTTGGGGGTGGTTGGGGAAGGCCTCTTGGAGGAGGTGGCATTTGAGAAGAGGTCTGAATGAAACGAGGGAACAAGCCTTGTATCAAAGAACAGCAAGTGCAAAGACCCTGAGGTGGGATTCTGGTTTGCATGTGCAGGAACATCAAGCAGGCCACAGTGACTCCATTCGACTGGAGTGACTGGAGTAGAGTGGCTTGGAGAGAAGAAGGAAAGTGGCTGTGGTGTAGAGGGTTGGTCTTGGGGTGGAAAGCAGATTATACAGGCCTCATGGGATTTTATTCTGAGCATGATGAGAAGTTGCGTCAGTTTGGGTCTCCAAGAAGCTAATGCCAAGAAGGAATTAAAGATGTGAACTGATTTGTGGGGAGTAAAGCCTGTGAAGGCTAAAGAAGAGCAGGGGCAGGAGCAGGTGGTGAGAACCTTCTGGCGGTGACGCAGGCCTGGCCCCTCTGGGAGGAGAGAAGGGAGGAAGCAGGACTGGATAGGAAGAGCCCTGGGCTTCAGCACGCTTTATGGTCTGCATCCAGCCAGGAGACAGAAACCATAGGGTGACGTAAACGGGCTGTTTAACGTAAAGAATTATTAACCTTGGGGCTGACCCTGTGGCCGAGTGGTTAAGTTCGTGCGCTCCGCTGCAGGCAGCCCAGTGTTTCGTTGGTTCGAATCCTGGGCGCGGACATGGCACTGCTCATCAAACCACGCTGAGGCAGCATCCCACATGCCACAACTAGAAGGACCCACAATGAAGAATATACAACTACGTACCGGGGGGCTTTGGGGAGAAAAAGGAAAAAAATAAAATCTTTAAAAAAAAAAAGAATTATTAACCTTACCCAGGAGAGTAACTACACAGATGGAGAGAGAACTTTAAAGGGTATCCTAGGGAGCATGCCCAGTGAAGGATAACCTTGGACGGGGGTGCCTTCCCCAAGCTGGGGTTCAGACCTCATTGAGAAGGTGTGGCTGAAACCCACTGGATGGTGGGCAGTTTGCTGCACTGCTTGGGCCGGAGCTGTGGGTCACTGGGCAAGAAGGAAGCAACTCTCAGAGGCTTAAGGGAGCTGAGGCTGGCGGGTGGGATGGGGCACCCCTGCAGGTGTGAGGCCTAGAGGGTGTGGTCCCCGCAGTAGGAGGGTTGCAAGATGATGGTCCCCAGGCTGAGGGGCTGCAAGGGCGCTGATAGGCTGTGAACACCGGGCTCCTGGCTGCAGCGCAAGTCCACCAGGTGTCCTCACACGCTGCTGACCAACCGCACAGCAGGAGCAAGAACACATACATGTCCCAGAACCAGAAAGAGAAGCCAGCTTTCCTCCTGAACTGTCCCCTCCAACACCCTCTACTGGCAAAGCTTAGCGTCTCACTGGAAGGGAGGCTGGGCTCAGAGTCCAGTTCATTATCATAGGGCAGGCACTGAAGGGCGAATTTGGAGCTGAGAGGCAGCAAATTGAGAGCTGGCACCACGTCTTTGAGGAAGTCTTGGCCAGGCCAATGGGCAGCCCCAGAGCAAAAGATGCCCTTCAGAGGAATCCTGTACTGGGCAAAACTGACCCATCCCCCAAACCCTGCTGTGCTCAGCTCTTGGCTGGGAGCAGCCCAGGAGGACGGTGGCCTCAGCGTGGACACGGCAGCTGATCTGAAAGTGCAGCAGCTGGAGGTGGTCACACAACTCCCCTCGTCATAGCATAGCCTCCTCAAGGTTCTCCTGAAGACAAGTCCAGGCAGCACACCTCCACTGACACCCCGGATGCCAGTGGAAGGATTCAGCAGAGCAGCTGGGACACGATATTCAGTCAATCAACCAATATTTATTGTGCCTCCACTGTGTACTGGGCTCTGGGAACAGAGGGACTGAGACCTCATTCCAGTCCTCATGAATCTGAAAGGCAGGAATGGGGAGCAGACATTAATCAGAAGGTCAAGCCCAATGAATTCTAGGACAAATGAGTGCCAGGAAGGGGAGCTACATGGTACTTGGGCTGACCTACAGGGGGAACTGACCTAATCTACAGAAGTTAGGGAGGGCTTCCCTGAGGAAGTGTCCTCAGACTTGAGATATGAAGGATGACCAGGTGTAAACTAGTGAAAGGGGTAGTAGAACAGCACTATAGGCAGAGAAAAGCATGTGCAAAGGCCATGTGGTAGTGAGGACCATGGCATGAGAGAGGAAATAAAGGGATGTCAGAGGAGAAGGAGGAGATAGACAAGGAAGGCGGGGAGGTAGGAGCCTCTCAGGGCCTTGGAGACTTTGCTGCTTCTACTGAAGAGACAAGTCTGGAAGAAAGCAGGGAAAGATGGAGATGCGGAGTACGAGGGGCCAGAGTCTGAGGAGCCTTGAACATCCATTTAATTTTTATCTGACCAACCACACGGCAGGAACAAGAACACACACACACACACACACACACACACACACACATTCCAGAACCAGAAAAAGCAGCCGCCTTTCCTCCTGAAACAGCCTCTCCAGCCCCCTCTACTGGCAGCTGCCTGCAGCTGCCTTGACCCCAGGCTCTCTCTAACCTGAGGGATCCATGCATCAGTCGCTGCCTTAGCGTGAGAGACGCGGGGGATCCAGACATGGAGCAAACAGGGGCCTGCCCCCAGGTCTCCCAGCCTGTTGGGCAGGACTGGCATGGGCACAGTCGCACAAATTCCAGTTATAACATAAATAAGTACTCGGGATGTAACGTACAACATGATGACTGTAGCTAACGCTGCTGTCGGACATATGGAAAAGTTGTGAAGAGAGTAAATCTTCAGCTCTCATGACAAGGAGAAATTTTTTTCCCTTTTCCTTTTCTTTTTTTTAATCTACATGAGAGGATGGCTGTCAGCTGAACCTATTGTGGTAATCATTTCACAATATATGCAGATCAAACATAATGCTGTTCACCTTAAACTTATTCAGTGATGTATGTCAATTATTTCTCAATAAAACTGGAAAATAATGAAATATCCCATAACATGCTTGGACTCCATTGTTTTGACCCAGACTCTGATGTTTTGCTGGCAGCAGGAGCCATTGGGACATAACTGAAGATGTCAAAATACATGGACAGTCAAATTTGTTTGGATTAATAAATTGCTAAGGAATCGTGTTGCAGATAACAAAGAAAATTGTCAGAACTGGCCCAGGAAAAATTACATGTTGTACTAGTCAATTTTTCCCCTACAATAATGCTGTGTAAGAAACAACCCCAGAACTTGGCGGCTTACAACATTGGGCCTTTGTTTCTATCCTTCATGGGCCTGTGGGTTGGCTGAGGCTCTACTGGGATCCACTGGCTTTGGTTCCGGGCTGCAGGTTGGCATTTCGGTTGCTAGGGCTTCCAGAACAAAAGCCCACAGCCTGGAGCTTAAAACACAGAAACGCACTTTCTCACGGTTCTGGAGGTACAAGTCCAAGATCGGGGTGGCGGAGGATTGGTTTCTTTGGATGCCTCTCCCCTTGGCTTGTGGACAGCTGCCTTCTTGCTGTGTCTTCATATGGTCTTTCCTCTGTGTGTGTGTGTGTGTCCCTGGCGTCTCTCTGTGTGTCCAGATTTCCTCTTCTAATAAGGATACCGGTCAGATTGGGTTAGGGCTTTCCCCAACGACCTCGTGTTAACTTCATCACCTCTTTAAAGGCCCTGACTCCAAATACTGTCACATTCTGAGGTGTTGGGGTTAGGACTTATACGCGTTTGCAGGGGACACAGTTCAGCTCATAATAGTTGAGTTCAGGATTATTCCATCAGTCTCCTTGTTCTGGGACCAGGGGCACCTGGGGCACAGTCTTTGCATGGCAGATGAGTCAGAGACTCCTGGGGGGCAGACAGACAATGAGGACACATGGGGACACTCCTAACTAGGGCACACAGAACCAGCACCACATTCTATTGGCCAAAGCGGGTCCCATGGTGTTTCAGTTACTCTTTTTTTTCAGATTTTATTTTTTTCCTTTTTCTCCCCAAAGCCCCCTGGTACATTGTGTATTCCTAGTTGTGGGTCCTTCTAGTTGTGGCATGTGGGACGCCGCCTCAGCGTGTCTTGATGAGCCGTGCCATGTCCGCGCCCGGGATTCAAACCAGCGAAACCTCGGGCCGCTGAAGTGGAGCGCGCGAACTTAACCACTCAGCCACAGGGTTGGCCCCATGTTTCAGTTACTCTTGCTGCATTACAAACCACCCCAAAACTTAGAGGCATCACACAACCATTTTATTATGCTCACCGATTCTGCTGGTCAGGAATTCAGGCAGGGCACAGTGGGAACTGCTTGCCTCTGCTCTAGAACATCTGGAGCCTCGGCTGGAAACACTCAAAGGCCGTGGCCAGAACCTTCTGGAGGTGTTTTCACTCACACATCTGGTGGTTGATGCTGGCTATCTGCTGGGACCTCAGCAGGAGCTGTCACCTGGAACACCTCTCTGTGGCATCCGCAGGTGCTCTCTCTGTGCAGGCTAGTTTGGGCTCCCTCAAAGCACGGTGGGTGGATCCCAAGAGCAAGTGTTCCAAGAGAGCAAGTGGGA